CTTAACAGTGTATGTAAAGGTGAATTGTTATCTTGCATTTCCAAAGATAGAAATAATCAGATGTACCCTATAGCATGGGCAGTAGTTGATAAAGAAACCAAGGACACATGGTCTTGGTTTCTCAAGTGCATCAAACATGATTTGGAGCTTACAGAAGGTGAAGGACTAATAGTGATGTCTGATATGCAAAAGGTATTACTATATTATTTGTTAAATTTATTTCTTCATCTTTGGAGTAATTAATATTTAACATTGTTGTATGTCAAATGTTCTTTGTTTGACAGGGTCTTCATCTTGCACTTATTGATGTATTGCCAAATGCTGAAATTAGATGGTGTGCTAGACATATATGGGCAAACTGGAAGAAAGACTGGAGGGGTGAAGAAAGGAGAAGAAAATTCTGGCAGGTTGCTAGGGCATCATTTGAGGTACTTTTACAGTCCAAACTTGATGACTTGAGTGAGTTAGGAGTAGGCATTGTAGAAGTTTTGTTAAAGTATAACAAAGAAGCATGGTGTAGGGCATATTTTAAAGAACATAGCAAGTGTGATGTGGTTGAGAACAACATGTGTGAGACTTTCAACAGTTGGATTTTAGGTGCTAGGTTCAAATCAATAATCACTATGCTAGAGGAAATAAGAGTCAAAGTTATGGAAAGAATGAATCACATGAGAGAATTTTCAGAAAAATGGATTACTGATGTAGCACCAATGGCTATGGATATTCTTAGAAAAATGCTGAAATTGCAGATAATTGTGAAGTAAAGTTTAATGGTGATCTTGGCTTTAGGATTCATGATCTACCATATAAACATGTTGTTGACCTAAGAAAGAAGGTGTGTAGTTGTAGGTCATGGCAATTAAAGGGAATTCCTTGTAGCCATGCACTTACAACAATTCATTATAAGGATTGGGTTGTTGATATATTTGTTGATCACTGGTATAAGAAGGAAACATACCTGAAAGCATATAATATGTTTATTCAACCTATGACAAACATGAAGATGTGGCCAAAAAGTGATAGACCAGTCATTGAACCACCTGAAATTACAGCTATGCCAGGAAGACCAGGAAAAAATAGGAGAAAAAATAGTGATGAGCCACTTAAGAAGAAGTTTGGAAAGGCTACAAGGAAGGGAAGAAAAATGAAATGTTCTGTGTAAGACTTTTGGACATAACAAGAAAGGATGTCCAACTCTAGTAAGTTGTGCTTTGATGCCTCTTTGTTACTGAATTTTACTCTTGTTATACTTTTGACTTTAAAATATGTTTGTAGAAAAATGTTGCTGCTGGAACAAGTGCTGCAACTTCATATGTTGCTGCTGGAACAAGTGTTGCAAGTGTTGCAACTGCTGGAAGCCAGTCAAGTGTAAATGCAGGTCCAAGTGCAGGTTGCACTCCAAGTGCAGGTCCAAGTGCATGTCCAAGTGCAGGTCCAAGTGCAGGTTGCACTCCAAGTGCAGGTCTAATTAGTGCTCAACAATCAACTTCTAGTGCAGATGGCCAAAAAAGAAAGACTAGCACAACTTTGAGAGGTGGTGCAACTCTTAAATATAAGAAACCAAGACCAAAAAAAGCAAAGACAGCTGGTTATGGTCTCTTATTTGGATCAGGTTGCAGTGTAACTGCGAGGGTATGTATTTTATCATTTAAACACATTAAATTGCTTTAATTGATATTAGTTCATCTTTAAGTTAAGATTTTTGTTGTTCTCTCAGTCTGAAAATACTGATAGGGTATTACATAATGCTACATTGTCAAGTTCAACTCCTACCAATATTGATCTTGGTTACAAACCCAATGGACTAAGGTGGAAGGGAAGAGCTGCAATTACTCAAAGGCAGCTACGGGAGGAGAGTTACAGAAGCACTCAAGGCACACATTAGATTTCACTTGGTTTAGCTTAATGACTTGATCCCAACTAACTTTATTTTGATTAATGACTTGATCCCAATTGTTTTGGTTATGCTATTAGGAAGACTTTGTTTTTGTATATGAATGGCGCCTACATGAATTTGTGTTATGTTGCTATTAGGAAGACGTTGTTTTTCTGTATGAATTTGTGTTTGAATGAAGTTGCTATTTAGATTTCTGAAGCAAATGCAGTCCATTTCATTATCAAATAACACCTAGTACAAATTAATATATCTTAAAAATAACGGCTACAAACCAAATAACAACAATCACAATAACAGTGATATCAATACTAGTGTTTGATCCTTGTCTTCTATGTCTTCCTTGCCCTGAACTCGTTGATGGATTCTTAATGTTGTATTGTTCTTGGCATGTTGAATCATTTGCATCAATCCATCGGAAGAATCCACACCCATTACCGGATGAATATTTTTGGCAACCCCAAAACATTCTTCCAGGATTAGTTGGTGTTCTTGATGTCTTTAGTTCAACATATATTTCACAGTAGCAACATCGAACCGTCATTGTGAAGACCAACAAAATCAAACCAACAAAAATACAATAGAACCACAAAAAAAAAAAAGATGAAACAAAAATACAATAGAATCACACACAAAAAAAAGATGAGTAGATCGAAGGAAAAAATAAAGGCACCAAAAATAAAAGAGAAAAAAATTTGAAGAGACAAAATCGAGAAAAAGAGGAGAAAAAAGCTCAAATTTGTCCAACAATGGTGTTTGAGTGAAAATAAAGAAGAAAGATGGCCTTTAAAGGTCAAAATCTGACCGTTAGTTTATTTTTAAGGCGTCTCACGCTCTTACCTTGTGTGTATCACACGCTCCATGTGGAGTCTTTCCACATAGGATGCCACATCAAAAAAAGTGTTTAAAATGTTGGGTTTGGATGGATTCAGGGGTCCAAATGACAAAAGGGTAAGTAGAAGGGTTCACAATACAAACAGATACAAGTACAAGGGTCCACCAGACCATTCTGCCTATTATATATAAAGTCCCAATCTTAAATATTATATATTATATTTGGGCCTAATGGAAAAGTCTCAATCAAGGAAGCAACATATATTATTTACAAATGACTTAAAAAGCATTAAAAATTACAATAATTACCAATTTAAAATATTTAAAAGCTATATAATAATATAGGTTGACTCTCAGAATTCTATCAGACTCACATATATTGGGACATAAAAAATAACGCATATCATTTTAATATTACCAAAAAAGTATTATAAATAATAATAATTAACAACTTAAAATATCTGAAAGACATTTTAAAAGGGTTAATTTTGTAATTTTATCCATATCACATAAATTAGGACAAAGTGACCAGTAATGTACATTATTTCAAAGTTACATAAAAATATTATAAATCACAATAATTAATAACTTCAAATATTTTATTTTAAAAATAAATAAATTTGGATGACTCTCCAAATTTCATTTGTATCACATAAATTGAGACAACAAAAATAACATACATTGGGTCCATTTTAATTTATTTGTCTTATTTTTTTTATATTTAAAAATTGCGTAAAAATACTATAAACCATGATAATTGACAACATAAAATATGTTTTGAAAAAAAATACAAAAAATTCCACTGATTCTTGAAGTGAATCTATCGTAAAAATACTATAAATCATTATAATTGACAACATAAAATTTTCCAAAAGGTTGTATGTGGATAGTCTTATTATGCCTTAAATAGCGTCAAAGAAAGTACAGGTTTGTGATAAAAAAACTTATTCCTTTATCCACGCAAACAATTGCTCCAAAAACTCAGTTATTAGCCCCAAAATATACCAATTATATTATTGGGCTCGTGCATAGCACGGGCAACATTATCTAGTATTATATAAATAAGAGAGAAGTATTGAAAAATCCCTATATTTGGCGCGGATTATTGATTTCATTCTCGAACTATTAACAACCTTAAAAACACTCATTTACTTGACTAATTGAACTAAAATACATCCTTGATCTGGCAACATGAGTAAAATACACCCCTAAATTCCCGTCAAATTTAGAGGTGTTTTCAACACTTCTCTTGTTTTTTTTTATTATTAAGAGTTTGTGCTTCTACAAGAGTTTGAAATCATTTATCGTGTCATGTGACATATCGAGGGTGTATCTAAATTTAGTTAGTCAAATAGATGAATGTTTTTAATGTTGTTAATTATTCAGGATGGAACTAATAATTTGCATCTAGTTTAAGGGTGTTTTCAATACTTCTCTCTACAAATAATGTGTAATTATGTATATAACTACATATCAAATATGTATATACATTTATACCTACATTGCAACAATTCATCTTCCTTAACAAGTACTTTTCTTTTTGACAAACTTAAATCTCCTCTACACAAATTTTAGATATAAACTCCTTTCAATGTTTCAAACTTTTTGATATATTATTCGTTCAAACGGTTTACATTTGTGATAGGGTGAACTTTAAAATTTGAATTTCGAAACCGAAGAATTGTTTCATTTTTCTTTCTCGCGCTCCTTCTTCGTCACCTTTCATGACTGTTTTTCTACTTCTCTTCCTTATTTTGCTCTCCACAATATGTTCCTTTCTTCTTCCCTCTTTGCTCCCTGTAATTTTGGTTTTATTTTGCCGCCGAAATCGAAAAAAATATTATTGATTTATTGGATTTCGTTACTGATATAACAATTTTTAAATAATTTTGTACTTTGTTATATTGGTCTATTTGTTCAATTATTAACTTTTAGAGTTTACTTAATGACTAAACTAATAACTAAATCGTTACAAACCAATTAACCTATAATACGAAAATCATTTACTTAACAGTGATCAATATAAAAGTCAAAAACAGTTAATTTAGCTTAGTGGTTCTCTTAAGTGAAGAAATTGTATATTAATTAATAAATAGAAATAAGAACAGAGAGGAAAAGTATTCAACGTAGGTTCCAAAAAGACATTAGTATTTTTTATTGGTTAAACCGATAACCAAATCGTTACAAATCAATAACCAAATCGATAACACGTACAAAAGGCTAATTCATATATGCATGTTAGTTTACAACAATTGCTTTATGACTTCAGTCAGTAAATGAAATCAACTCCACAGAGCCAAACTGCATTTACTATGGTTCCTACACCAGAAAATATAGAAGCTAAAACAAAAGGTAGCTCATTCAATATCGAAAATGTACGCGATACTATCACCATCTCGATTCTCGGCTAATACCTGCCTAAGTACTACAGAGATTACATGATCTTACCAACAGGAATGGTCACACAATACTATCACCATCTCGGCTGCTTTGCTCGTTTTGCTCTCCGTCATCATCTGTATTGTTCTTATCCCCCTTTGCACATTGATGCCTATTTCTATTTCCAGCTTTTGAGCTTCCACCATCAGTTTCGGCAATAAGACCAGTCTGGATTGCTTCCAAATACAACACCTTCACCAAATTCTTGAAGCGTCTTCTGAATGTTGGTACCCGAGAAAATGAACCAACAATGCCCTGCAACCTGTTGGTTTGTAAAAGCATTGTTCAATCCTCACTCTAGATTTCAATAAAAAAAATAGGTGTACAAGTTTTCCATGGAAGAGCTGAAGCAAAAGTTATTATATTATGATTGCAAAATGTTACAAGTTCGTATAGCTAGCATTTCATAAATATAAACTTACCTCCTAATAACAGCTTGCAACTGTGCTCTCCTCACAGTATCGGTGGATGGAAAACCGGTGTTGTCCCATTCCTCTGGCCTTTCATTTTTGTAACACATTATCAACTTCCTCAGACTAATTTCCTCATCTTCTCCTAATTGTAGTGTTTTTATTTGCTCCTTAATGACTAAGAGAGGCGCAAGGAACCACTCAAACACTTTATCCTTTGGCCAGTTAGACTTTGTCAGTTCCACTTCATCAGCTGTATAGAGCATATAAGACATCATTCTTCCTAAAACTAATACATAGGCGGAAGACAAGGAAGAGAAAAAGGCAGTTTGAGAAAAGACATACAAATTAGTAGGCCCAGAGAGTCGGACTGTGCGGATGCAAGCAGACACTGTAGAATGGACCAAGCAGGCAATTTGATACCTAACTTCTTACAGTCCCCCTTGACAATACATTCCTCAATATCTTTGACATCTATAAAGCCTTCACGCAGGAGTATTCTGCCATTGACCTCACAGGATTTAAAGAGCCAACCCCATACCTGTTTCAGAGTTACATTTGGGTTAAAAACATAAAGAACTTAAGTGGGCTGAAGTGATTACACATATGGACTTATATACCTACCTGCATGGGCGTATATTGTTGGATTGCCTGTTTCAGCGTTCGTGATCCATGCGAAACAAGCTTCAAACTGTGTGATCCTTCTTTTTCTTTTTCCTTCCTCTGCTCAATTAACTTCTTACTGTCAAGGCCACCCGAGGAGATCATATTTCTTCTATATTTAGGCCTGGCTTCAGGAAGAATTCAGAGAATTCAACATTATTGATGGCATCATCAAGTTATTTCATAACATTGATAAATAGGTCGATTTCTTTCAGATCATAAATGTAATAAACTAGCGTTGGCGGACTACACTATGCTGTCAATACCTCATGAAGCATGACCCTTCCCTCATGTCAAGTAGGTCGTTTGTGTATTCGTCAAATATGGAAATGGCTGCTAGGATGTATGCAAGTCCCATGCGAAATGAGTCTTCCTAGCAAAACTCGTGTCACTTCAGTAAGAATCAGACAGCGTTCTAAATGAGACATAGTGCCTCTCAAACTTCAAAGCTGGCTCATATGACTACTTAGTAAAACAGAGGAAGGAGGAGAGCATATAGACCTGATGAACCACAACCCCGCTGTAAAGTGCAAGAGCAAAACTTGAAAAGAAGGACGCTACCACGGATCCAACAACAGCTAAAGGCCACAAAAAGATTGCAAGGCCAGCAAAAGGTACACAAACCGTCTCCAGAAATGGGCCTTCTCTTCCAATTAAGTCTTCTAGTAGCCTCTTCCAGCCCCTGAACAGCATGAATGGGCTCTTCCAAAGAGCAAGAGCTGTAATAAGAGGGACATCCACTGGAATCGCAAGCAGAGAAACCAAAATGCAACTTGGCAGCTTTGACAACCTAGGACACAGCACGGTAATGAAAATATGGTACACTGTAATCTACCATCTGTGTCTAATGTTTTTAAAAAAGAGGTTCAGATATCACTCACTTCACTTCTATTGGTTTCTCATCTGGGTATATTTCCTCAGAAAGCTCGTCCATATAAGAAAAATAAGAGTGGAAGCAAAAGTCTGTAAAGTCTCGAACTACCGTGCAGCTCCTTTTAAGAGTGGAAATACAACCATCCTGATAATTTTATCAACTATAATCTTTGGCATGTAAAATACATGATTACATTTGAACGAACAGAAGAACTCAAATTTATACATACAAACACACATAAAAGCACATTATATATGCTCTTTTTTTATAGGTAAATTTTTATTTTTTTGATAACTGAGAAATCTGTGGCTTGAACCTGCGACCTAAGCCACAAATCCTCCACCTTTTGCCACTCGAGCTAGGCCTTGGGGGCTTTTTTTTATAGGTAAATTTCATGCACATGTTATTCTATTGAAGAGCTAGAAGTCTTTGGATCTTTTCATGAGCAATTAACTCTATATAACTATAAATAAGTGATCAATTACAAAAATCCGCCAATATAAAGCATAAACAAACTTGAGAGAAATTCATAGGGAAAAAGGAAACGACTACAAAAGCAAGATGAATGAAGGTTATAAGCAAGAATATGTTCTCCCTTCCATTTTTAAGGAAAATGATAATAGAGAAGTACTTGATCAGCTAGAAAAGCTAGTGGCACTCAGAACACTTGGATGTTCTGGCTACTTTAGCAAAGGCCAACATCCAGAAGAAAACTAAATAAACAGATGAATTACGCCATCATATGTCCTGGAAATTTATATTTTCCAATCAAGTTCCTAGATAAAGCATGAATAATTATGAAGCCAGCTAGCAAAAGCTCATGACAAATGTTCAGCATATCAAGAAAATGAAATGACCCATCCGTTAACTATAAGGATCGATGTCTCATCTAACAATGTGACTAAGAGCAATTCATCTACTTATCATTGTGGAGATGAAGACTCACCGTGAAGCAGTGATAGATCTTGCAAGTGATACTCTCTCCAATAGCCTCGAAAGTTGCTATCAAAGGAGCGAAAAAAACCGTACCCTATCCCACCTAGAAGACTCCCAATATTGGCTACTATGGGCCAAAGAATCAGAGGAACTGGCAATGAAACCAGTAATGCAATCTTCAAAACCCATCCAAGTCTCTTGGTTCTGAAATGTGAAACAAAGCACAATAGCTTCTATATCAGATACACAGTATATGCATATTCTGTACTATAATAACCCATACAACAAGAACATTGGCAAGAAAACACATACTTTGCTACACAATAGTAAGTCCAGATTAAATGTGCAGGCCATAGCCCAATTACAACTGCTGAATTCCCAACTGATATGAGGACAGTCACAACGGGGCCAATTACTAATCCTGTCCAGACAAACATCAAACTTATCAATATTCCACAACATTTAATATCCATCTTCAAAAGTGTGCTAAGATCAAGAAAACAAACAAAGACAGACTTAAAAACCCATTTAGCCATGAGAATTTTTCATTTTTTCCACTTCATTTGAAAATCATTGCTATGGAAATCTGAACAACACCCAAAACCCCATTTTCACTTTTATAAACTTGAAGTGATATAAAGGTACATTTAATCCTTAAAATTGAACCCAACATACTCTACACCAAAACACAGCAACATGTCAATTAAACTTTCAACAAACATTAATTCTGCAAAATTTCACAAGGTAACTTAGTGGTAAAACCTTAAAGGTTGAATCTTTAAGGGGTCGTTTGGTAGAATGTATAAGAATAATGCAAAATATAGTGTATTAGTAATGTTTGCATTAGTTATGATGAAATTTTTTTAATGCAATGTTTGGTTTGGTTTACTAAAAATATTATGCATTACATAATTTTTTTAGAAAAAATATTTTATTTACAAAAATACCCTCCACAAATATAATTGAAATGATGTAAAAAAAGTTTTTGAGGGCAATTGTGTCTTTAATAATGTTAAATCATGTATTAGAACCCATTGCATTACTAATGCATAGAAATAGATGGTATTAGTAATACACTCTTCAATACACAATAGAGTTATTACTAATACAAGCATTAATTATGTATAGGTTAGAAAAGTGTAACAAACAAGGTACTAATAATACATCAAGCTAATGCAAGCATTATTTTCTCCAATACACTCTACCAAACGACCCCTAAGAGTTTAAAGCCTTGATTAGCCTCTAAACAAAACACACTAAACATACTACTACTCTGTATAATATGTACAAATTCAGTGCAAATATGTCTTAAAATGAAAAGGGGTTACTAGTAGTACACCAACCTTTGAGAAGACCAAGAAGGAAGAGCAAGAAGAAGAAAGGAAGAAAAGATATAAAGCTCCAAAGCTTAGCCAAGAACCCTACTGGTACTTCCATCAAAAAACAAAAACCTTCACTATAATGGTTCAATGAAGTTGATCAAAATCAAGAACCCATGTCCAAATTAATTTTATTTATACAAATAATATTCTTAAAGGTGCAGAGAGAAAGTGGAAAAAAAAAAGTGAAAATTGCAGGAAAAAGAGACAGAAAGAAGAAGAGAGAACAGAGCCGTTATGTGGGGTGGAGCCGTAACGTGGCAGAAGATTGTGGCAAGGCTACCACGTGGAAGGAAGTTAGACACCTCGAAGGGCGTGAAGGAAGTTAGATATTGCGACACATCACGCAAATCATCAAGCGTCCTTGTGTTTGTCGTTTTTGTCTTAATTATGTTCCATATTTTCATTTTTCGTTTTCCATTCACAAATTTGTATGATTTTAAAAAAATAAATAATACATACACATACATAAATAGAATTGGCTATATCAGTATATGTATAAAGTGATCTTTTTAATCACTAAATGAGTAGGTCAAAATAATACAACAATTATATATGCATATTTGATTACTTAACTAATAGAAAATCATAATAGTTCAGTTAGTTAGCTGTCTGAATTTCGACAAATGACACGCGATTAAATGACGCTATGAATGATATATAAGAATTATAAGATTCAAAATGGCACGAGATTAAATGATATTATGAAGTTAAATATAATTGGAGTTTTGGTGTATAAGAATTATAAAATTCAAAATGGCACAAAGACAATTCTTTCTTTTGAAATTTGATATTTGATCAATAATCGAATAATTGTAATCAAACCAAAACTAATAACAATCGAACCAAGTAAATTATTTTTGTTTGATTTAATTAACAGCCAAGTGGTTAGATCAATGTAAAACAAGAGGTTATGAAGCCATGCTGCTTTGATGAAGTGTGAATGATCTTAATGAGAAGTAGTTGTCTCATTGAATCTCAACTTTGTAAAGTTGGACTAAGAATGGCATTATGGCACTTGTACCCTCTTTGAGTTGGGGATTATCTACAAACACAAATGTCTTAACTTAAGGATTTAGTTGTTCTAATTTTCTACTGAGATAGATAAATGGAGAGAAAGCTCGACGTATCTTGTTAGGCAAAGACATATTAGGATGGATAGTTTACGAGTGAAATCAATGGGATAGACCATCATTAAAGAAGAATCGGGGGAAAAATTATGGCTATAAAGGTCATTGCTCTATTAGAAACTCTAAAAATTAAATCTCAAGCAGTATTAAAGATTAGGCAAAAGAAGAATAATAACTACAATATTCGCCCCTCCCCTTGTACCAAGAAGGAAGTTCTGAGCATAAGGAAGCCTGTTTTCATCACTATTATTTTGACATGTCACCTGAATTTGATTGGCCGGAGGAAATTTGTCCTACAACTCCTCTATTCTATAACTACAAATAGGGGTCCTCGTAATTTATAAGAGACTGTTGAAAATAATAATTCAAAGTTAGAGTAGGAATCCTATGTTGATTAAGATTTGTTATTTATGGTATTTACTTACTCATGTTTAATTAGGATTTGTTAGTTATAGCGGTTCCTAGTCCTAGTTTAATTTGGTTTTTACCTTTATAAATAGTGATGTTACTAGTTATTTTCAATACACAAAAATATACAGAAAATATAGAATTATACAAAAACATATAGAACTGTTGAATTTATAAATAAAATATTTTCCTTCAAATTTGTATCAGATCCAGTAATGTTCACCACCAAATAACATATATGATATCAAATATGTTTCCGCTAATTTCTTCTCCAATGTTCAAAGAAGAAAATTATCAACTATGGGCTATGAAGATGAAAACATATTTAGAATATGTGGATCTATGGATATTTTTGAAGAAGATGGTGAACCATCACCATTACCCGTCAATCTAACTTTGGCTCAAATCAAAAATCATAATGAATAAAAAATTAAAAAGTTCAAAGCAATGAATAGTTTATATTCCTCAGTATCTGAAGAAATTTTCACAAAAATCATGACGTGTGAAACTCCAATGGAAATATGAAATCCTCTAAAGGATGAATATTTGGGCAATGAGCAATCAAGGTTAATGCAAGTTCTGAACCTTAAAAGACAATTTGAGATTCAAAAGATGAAAGAAAACATAAGGAATTAAGGATTATGTTGGCAAACTCACATCAATTGCCAACAAAATTAGACTGTTTGGTGAAAAATTTCTCGATACTAGAATTATTGAGAAAGTTCTTGTAACTTTGTCTGAAAAACTTTGAGTCCAAGATTTCGTCACTTGAGGAGTCTAAAGATCTCTCAAAAATTTCAATCAATGATTTAGTGAACGCTTTGCAAGCAGTTGAGCAAAGAAGGGAAATTAGAGATTAACAAACAACTGTAGAAGCTTTTGCTGCTAAAATATCAAGTGAATCAATCAGAAAGAATAAATTTCCACCTTGCAGTATATGTAAGAAAAATAATCATGCAGAGGATGATTGTTGGTTTAAAAGCACCAGACCTAAGTGTTTTAATTGCAAAAAATATAGAATTATACAGAAACATATAGAACTGTTGAGTTTATAAATAAAATATTTTTCTTCAGAGACGCCAAAATTCTAATAAAAAGTCGGAGAGAGCTTGTGGATCAAGCTACAAGTTCAATTCAAGTTCAAACGCAATTCAAGATCAAGACGATCAGAGTCAAGAACAAGCTCTGAAGCCCTTGAATTTAAGTATAAGTCAAGATCAAGTTCATCAAGATTATTCATGATCAAGCTCGATTGCTCGAAGGCCCTTGAATTCAAGTACAAGTCAAGCTCACAAGCCCATGAATTTATATTTGAAAAAACAAATAAGAGGATTCATAGAAATTGTATCGCTCATATTTGAAATAAAATACTACGATTATTATGACCTTTTGATCTTGATTATTATTTTCTCAACACGATCTTTTTTCTTATCTTCACCTCTTTCCATAGATACTTTAAGAGCATTATTAGTGAATAGTGCAATGTCTTGATGTATGATTTTTTTTGCAGAAATGAATTTCCTAATTAATATTTCGTTAAAGTACTAGGTCGGCCCAATCCTAAAGTCAAAACTTAATAAAATATTATAGATATTTTTATAATATTTTAATAAGTATGCATATTTTTAGAATTCACTTTCTTATTTGCAACAATATATTTTAAAATACTTGTATATAAAAAAAAAACAGAATCAACAAGGTAGGTATATATGTATTAGTTATTGAGAGATAGAAAATTAACTTAATGTGCTCTACCTATGTATTTGACACCCCAAACTATAATTTTAAAAAATGGAACTCTTTATTTGTGATAATCAGAAAATTATATATTAACTATGTTTTCACCATCCAATTCATCGCGTCATGTGAGCACTTGCCCTAATATTTAGATAGGAGAACCCTTACCACCCAATTTTAAAAATGGGCAATGCAGAAATTGATAAAACATAATCTACCATCCTAGTTAAATATTGAAATACTCTTAACTTGATTTAAAACAAAGTCCTTTGTAGAGAAACACACTAAACACTCTCCAAGGAACTAGTTTAAACATGTACAAGAGCTTCTAAGAGTACTAGTTATAAAAAAATAAAATAAGACACAACAACCACCATAAGGAAAAATGAGTAGAAGCTGTCGGAGATCATCATCGTCTTCACCTACAAGACATTACAGAATCCTACAACCAAACTATGTCAAAGTGGCATAGCAAGAGTAATATCCGTACAAACAACACGTACTTGTAAGCATCGATCGACCCGAATCCACCACATGATATCATGCAAATTATAATCAAAGAAACAATGCAATTTGAAGATAAAATTAGGACCTCAGTCCACTCAGTCACCACTCTTACTACAAGTAATATTACCTTGGAACTCATACGCTCTATCTCATGTCACCCCTCATCCTTCTGGTGTCAACTCCACCCTTTAGGTCATTCCACCCTCATACTAGATCATAACCTAAGCTCTCATAGAGATTTTTCGAATATAAAAATTACTATTAACTCGATTCATTAACCAATCTACCATTCTCCGTGCTCAAAGGCCTATGCATGAAATCTCCTGACAATCTCAAGATATTGTATAAGTAAATACATGTTTAACTACTCGGTTAATAAAACCTAGTCTACCTGAACACCAAGCACTTGCTGAAGACAAACTTCTAGTTTTGTGGGGACAAATTCTGATGAACGTAGACTGAAAATCATTTGGTTTTAATCTTCATTATGTCGAAATCTCTTCCCTAGATGGTTCCCAGGCTAAAAGTGGCTTAAGATTTTTGGAGCAACCCTCGCCTCCTTTTCTTCTTCAAAAGTGAGAGGAGAATAAAAGACATCGTTTTATCTAGAATCTGTTGCCGTCAGTCCCGCTATAGTGATCACGCAGGCGCTAGCTATAGCGGTACTGCCATTATGGGAGGTCTCCCCCAATGGTGGGCGGACATCAGTCTGGATTAATTCAAATTTAACAAAATTGTCATATACCCATATTTTAATTTGGGGACACATTTTTAAGAATTTTGAAATTATGCACGAGATGCCTTTGAGTAACGACGATTCAGATCGTTATATATAGTGTGAAATATCATTTTAATTTATTTTTTAATATAATTTTTTTAAATTTCTTATATAGTGATATAGGAATATCTTGCTTTTTTATTATCAACCTTTTGTTTTAATATCTCAAGTTACAATTAAATATCTTTTTAGTAAAGGTCCTCTTATAAAAACTAGAGAAATACAACTATATATATTATAATTAATATAGAAAAGGTCATTATTTCCTTATACATTTTTAAAAATTTAATTAAAAGATAGTAGAACTTTAAATCAAAGTATTTAAAACTTATTATTTACTAATAAGATTTTTGAAAACAGAAACTAGTGTATTATATTATGACAAATGGCTAACATTTATCGATTTGAGAAAATGCTTCTCAAATTATATAATAAGATATCGACTCTTTAAATGTAAAGTGATAAATTATATATTAAAGATGCCTAAATGACAAATTATATCAAAGAAATAAAATATTTGAGATCTTCACTCTTCAAGAACTAAGCCTTGAAGTTTGTATTCAAGGTTGTTGTCACCATTGTATCTTAATTACAAAATATTTATGTTATAACTAATGTATTAAATAAGTTTAAGTAACTCTTTTAAACTTTTTTATTTTCAATTCGTTTTATTGGAGATATTTTTACATGAAAAGTGACAAATTAAGGTATAAAATGGAACTTTGACTACATTGATTTGCCTCAACAGAAAGGCAGGTGATCAATTTTCCAGTAGGCATCACGAAGGTTTAAAGTTCATTAAGTGCCAAATATTTGAACTAGCAAAATGTTGTAATTGTTGTAATATCTTGAATCTGAGATTTTTGCAGCGGTATTAGCTCCTTGTAGCTCATTCTGCAAAGATTGAGGGTTCAAGATATTGATTTATCTCCTACGGCTCTTGTACCTTAGACTGGACTTGGGGCGAATCGCTTTTGTTGAGGTCTTGTCCGTCTTTTGAGCTGAAGAAGTCTTCACATACGACTCCATGGCATCAGTGAGACTTGTAGAGGCTTGGAATGGAAGTCCTTCAAACTCCGAAGGCCTAGACGTAGCTCAACAATGGCGGAAGCTCCATCAGAGATGAGGTCTCTGTCACCTGCTCTAGGGATGGTTTCTTAATTTGAGTTGTTCTTCTTCTATTTTGTTTCCTTAGATATTTTTCTTTTGCTCTTATTTGGACTCGGGTCACTTTTTGGCCTAAATCGTGTGTTTGCTTTGTTTTTTTTTAATCAATAAAATGTGCTTGCCCGATTTGAATTAAAAAATAATTATAAAAAAAAAAACAACTTATTGTATAGCTCAAAGTTCTCTCTTTTAAAACCTCCTTTAGTTAAGCTTATATGATTAAAACTAAACCTTATTTTTCTTCTTTTTTGTTTCTCCGATAAGCTGGGTGTAAGGTTGAGTTTCTCATTCCTAATTTTGTAATATGGATGTCAGACATATAACTCGTTTATTCTTTACCTATATATGAAATATGGGAGGTATATGAGACTATTTTGCTTATTTATGAAATCTGAGATGTATATAGGATGGAGAGAGTATTATTTATTTTTAAAGTTCAAGATAATTTTTTTTCATTTTATTTTTAATATTATTTGTTCTTGAAGAGTCATAAATATCTTAATTATGACATATAAATACAGTAAATATTATCCCACTAAATATTTTCTTAACAAACATGTAAAAAATAAATACGATAGATATTTTGAGACGGAAAAAGTAATATATAGAAGTTTTTGAGTTATTAATCTTTCACTTAAAAAGGAAAGAAATTGCGTATCGGCTCGATTCGAGTTTATTGATTTGACTTATTGTGTATCGATTTGTAGATATGTTAAACCGTTATAGAACCATTAAGATATTGACTTGGTGATTATCGGTTTATCAGTTATAAATCATTTTCGATTTAATAGTTAAGATTTGACACATAAAAAAATAATTAAAAATCACTTTGAAACAACAAGGTGACAAACTAAATGAACCATGCATATGAATTGATAGATTGCATTTGCTCAAAAGCAAATACTAGCATAATGTAGTTTAACCAATATTTTGAGACCCCAGAAATACAAGTATGAAACTGAACACTAAGTCAAGGACTTTCTATACTGAATGGTATAAATATAATTTATTAATTTACTATCGGGTTATCGGTAACCCATTAAGAAAAAACTTCAAGCTGCTAAGAATCGATGACCCGATAATAAAAAAAAATCAAATTCGTTACCGAAATCGCTAAACCAACAACCCATGATCCATAAACCAATAAAAAAATCAGTTTGAATTAACATTTTTGATTCTATTTTAATAGCCTTAGTTTGGAGCAGTGTTTACAAAAACATTTGGGGGTGAATCTCGGGGTAGGGCGTACCAAAAATGCTCCGGAGCACAATTTGAAGGCGTAGATCCATAGAGCATAAGTTCTAAAATTTGGGGCGTAAGTCTCGAGTGTAAAAACATAAGTCCTGGCTTAAAAAACGTACGCCCCATATGCCAATTTTGTTTTTTCTTGGGTTTTTGAACCATTTTTGCTTTAACTCATATCTTCTATTATTGGTGTAATGATATTTATATTATATTTTATCATGTTTTTTCAAGTTCTAGGGATTTTTTTAAAAGGGAAAAATGTCTGAAATATATCCGAACTTTGACCGAAATTGTTGTAACAATACCGAACTTTGGAAAGGACCTTTTACCCCTGCATTATTTAATAATGTATTTTAAAGGTATATATGTGCCCATGTGGACATCATAAATATTGCATCATTTTAAATAGTAATGTGTCCACGTGAGCACATATATACCTTTAAAATACACTATTAAATAGTGCAGAGGGTAAAAGGTCCTCCATAAAGTTTGGTATCGTAACAACAATTTCGGTCAAAGTTGGAGTATTTTTCAGACCATTTTCCCTTTTAAAAATATATAAATAAACTCTTATAAAAACTGACATTTTTATAAACAATTTTTTAAATAATCGTGTCTGAAATTGATAGGATAAAGCTTTAATAGCACTAAGTTCTTGAAATAACTTTATTCTTTTTTTGTCACCACTCTTACACTTTTTATCCTTCTTCTTCAAAATATATAAACAATAATCAGTGTACATATTAATTGAGGATGGGAAGTAGGGGTGTGCACTATTCGGATTAAACCGAATAACGAAACCAAATCAAACCGAATTTTATGTTTTTTGGTTTTTCGGATTGATTTTGGATTAATAAATTGCTTTGTTTGGTTTTTTGGTTTGATTTTGGATTTTAAAAAATAAAAACCGAAAAAACCCGAATTATATATATATATATATAGGTTTAGAATTAAGTTGGAGTTAACCACTTTTGTCCCTTTTTGGTTATTGCCTTTCATGATGATTACGTTTATATTTTATGTTTGAATTATATCTATAATAGGTATACTTATAAGTATTGTGTTTAAAATTTTACTTATGATTTATATTAGAAAGAGGGATAAGGGTCTGAAAAATATCCCAACTTTGGTCGAATTTGCTGTTGCGATACTAAACTTTCATGAGGACCTATTACCTTCCTAGACTATTTAATACCGTATTTTAAACATATATATTTGCCCATGTGGACATAAAAAATAATGCAAAATTATAAATAGTAATGTGTCCACGTGGACACATATATACCTTTAAAATACACTATTAAATAGTTCAGGGGGTAAAAAATACGGTATTAAATAGTCTAGGAAGGTAATAGGTCCTTATGAAAGTTTAGTATCGCAACAACAAATCCGACCAAAGTTGGGGTATTTTTCAAACCCTTATCCCTTAGAAAGAATATTTAAGGGATTAATTATTATTATTTTGGTTATATATGTTATTAATTATTGACATAATTGAATAACCAAACCGAAAAAAGCCGAATGGAATAGAGAAACCAAGCCAAACTAAATTTATTTTGGATCAAATTGGGTTACACTTTTACAAAACCAAAAATCGAAAATCCAAACCGAATAGTGTAAAACTTAACTGAAAAATCGAATGCGGGAAGGACTAGTCAATGTGAAGATGGATGATAATTTTATTTTAAAGATTATTTTGACTATATCATTTTTTGTTCGGCCAGTTGTTACCTTTTTCAAATGGTAATTATAATATTTTTCTTTTTATATTATTGGTTATTAATACCTTTCTCAATAATAAAAATAATTATAATATTTTTTTCTATATTATTGGTTGCTTCTTAAAATTTATTTGTAAAACTATTAAAGACTTTTTACTTTTGCTTATTTTTTCTTAGTAACAAAATTATAAAATTAAATATACATGAGATGTACTTCCTATAGAATCATGGGGCTTACGCTCCGTATCTCAAGGCTTATATCTCATCCTGTAAAATTATAAAATTAAATGTCTCGCCTTGCAACCCTGCCTTTTAAAACACTGGACTTTGAAGTGCTGAAAAATAGCATGCGTTGCGGCGACGGTCCTTAATCTCCAATCTCGGGGCGTTCTTTGGAAATCCTCCTTATATATTCCATATATATGAAAATAAGTGACTTTTTTAAGAAATCAAAAGGTATTAAAATTTTCTTTCTAACTTTACTATTGTTTAATACGTATTTTCTTTGTCTGCTATTACTCCCTCCGTCCCTATTTACTTGTTCATATTTCCTCTTTTAGATGTCCCTATTTACTTGTCTATTTTGACAAATCAAGAAATGACAAAAAAAAAATTTCCTATTATACCCTCATTTAAACTTCCCCCAACATTGATTAGTTATCTTGAATAAATTTATTTTGGAATCATAATTAATAAGGGCAAAATTGTAACTTTACTATGCTAATCATTGTTGCCTTAATATGTGTGTCATTTCTAAAGTGGACAACTAAATAGGGACGGAGGGAGTATAAAAATAGATTGAAAAATTAAGTAATAATCTATCACTTAGGTTCCTAATTTATCTTTTCTATTAACTATAGTTATTTTCCAACGTATTTATCAAAATATTGACTTTATTAAATTTAAAATAAATCATAAATAGAAGGTTAATATAATAATTACATTGTCTTGAAAAATGTAATGAAGGTAATTTAGGAACTAAGAGTAAAACTATTTATTGATTTCATTAAGTGGACAAATATCGTTGGACTACTCAAAATAATATAGTGAACAACTATTGTTGGACGGGGATAATATTTGAAAACAATAAAGTACTCAATGGATCAAGATTCAAGACACAAAAGCCAATTAGTTTAACTTTAAGAACTATGAATCTTGACGTTTAAGGAAGCTTAGCAAGACCCAAAAGCCAATTAGCTTGCAAAGACTAGTTAATTTGCAATTTCCCATATGACACTTTTTTCTTTTCAACACTATGATGAAAAAAAAAATGCAGCAGCATTCACTGACCAACAAATCAATATCTAAGTACTTGGCTTATTTTCCTCTAAAACTTTTGGATCATACTATAGTGATAGGATGTGGTCTCCCAAGAAACTCCAATTGCCTTCATTTTTGTCCTCTTTTTCTTCTACTTTGGTTTTCTTGATTGTCATCCCTTTGGTTCTTGTTTTAGTCCTTGCTTGTACATTAGGCCCTCAGAGTTCTTATGTACTATCATTTAGTTCTTCTTCTTGGACATGGAGATCAGTTGGATTATTAAGGTCTTTGACAAGTTATGAAGAGAAAGATCAGCATTTGCAAGTAGTTGGCCTGGTTACTTTCAACAACTCAGCAAAAGTCTCATTTTATAATCGACCCCTCGGAGTATATTTCACTTGTTCTTGTTGTTGTTTTGTTCTGTTTTCCATATATATAGGGTTACTTATCTAATAATGTTGATTTGTCCTTTGTTTTGCTACCTTATTAGGAAGGAGTTGAAGATATTTGGAAGGATGAAATGAATGAAGGAGAAGAGCATAGCGATGAAACGACTGGAATAGTTAAAAGGTATAACAGGTTGGAAAGGCATGAGGCCATTTTAGCAAAAGCAAGGTCATCCATAAGAGAAGCTGCTAGAAATGGAAGCATGATGTCGAATCATCAAGATCCTGATTATGTTCCTCAAGGTCCTATTTATCGTAACACAAATGCCTTTCACAGGTAATATTTCTACTTAAGTGTATAGTAGTAGTATTCGCGTTCATTTTACATTGACATACTTAATGTTTCATGTTTGTACTACTAGGAGCTATCTTGAAATGGAAAAGAAGTTCAAGATATATGTGTATGAGGAAGGTGAACTTCCAATATTCCATAATGGTCCATGTAGGAGTATATATTCAACAGAAGGAAGGTTCATTTATGAAATGGAAAAGGGAAATATGTACAGAACAAAAGATCCAGAGGAGGCTTTAGTTTATTTCCTCCCATTTAGTGTGGTTGTAATGGTTAGATACCTATATGTCTCTGGTGGCCCTGACAGTAGGCATGTCATTGGTAGAACAGTTGCTGATTATATTCATGTCATTTCTTCAAGACATTCCTTCTGGAATACAAGTCTTGGTGCTGATCACTTCATGCTCTCCTGCCATGATTGGGTAAGCAAAATGTAATCGAATTTAACTTCAAGTCATCTAAAAGATAACTACATGAAACTGTTTAGAATACGGGAGTAAACATTCTTTACATTGTCAGTATGTATAAGTTAAATCCTTCTTATGTGATATCTACCTTTTGAGATCAAAATGTCTGTTTTTTAGGGGCCACACACGACTTCATACGTGCCACATCTCTTCAACAATTCAATAAGAGTTCTATGCAATGCGAATACTACAGAAGGATTTAATCCTCAGAAAGATGTATCATTACCTGAAATCAATCTCAAGACGGATGATACAATAGGAATCATTGGAGGTCCATCACCATCAAGACGATCAACTCTTGCTTTCTTTGCTGGTGGTTTACATGGTGCCATAAGGAACAACTTGATGCAACAATGGAAAGGGAAAGACCAAGATGTTTTGGTTTACGAAGAACTTCCACCAGGAAAATCCTATGAAACTATGTTGAAGAACAGCAAGTTTTGCCTGTGCCCGAGTGGCTATGAGGTTGCAAGCCCAAGAGTTGTTGAAGCAATTTACGCAGAGTGTGTTCCTGTGTTGATTTCAGATGGTTATGTACCACCATTTAGTGATGTATTGAACTGGAATGCTTTTTCTGTGAAGGTGGCTGTGGAAGACATACCGAACATCAAGAAGATACTGATGAGTATTTCTCAGACTCAGTATTTGAGAATGCAGAGGAGAGTGAAACAAGTTCAAAGGCATTTTGTGATGAATGGACCTCCAAAAAGATTTGATCTTTTTCACATGATTGTTCACTCTATTTGGCTAAGAAGATTGAATATAAGAGTTTAGAGTTAAGCACTTTAATGTAGGTTTACTAGCTGGAAATCCTGCACAAGTGATCAATTTTGACCATTTGTAGTTCACATTTCTGCTTTCTACACACTTGTTTTGCCTTTTGCACTTTATTCTTGTAAACTACTGCTCTCAACTTTTGATAAGATGTGCCTGCCATAAACTACTTCATTAATGTATCATTTTTATGCCCCTTCAACATAATTATGGTTCATACACAAGCAGCTGGAACAGTAGAACACTTTATGGTCTTTAGCTCTTACTGAGCCCTCTATTTCAACTTCAGTGTACAGGTTTACTCGACCCCTGTGCTCATGAGCTATAGTAAGCTACTCGATAGATTAGTACTTAAAGTGAGCGACCTAGCTGGACACTATCGTCTATCGTCATAAAAATAATTATGTAATTGGAAAGAAAGTCTAAAAGAATACAAGCAAATAAGTATGGTGGTCCTTCAATATATCACAAGGCCTTAAGTCTTAACAGTTAAATTATGGAGAATTTCGACTTCTCATCAATGAAGTTTCAAGGACTATAGGTTTTTGCCATTGCCTCCAGGAGCCGGTGTTGTTGCAAATACAACAATGGAGATGCTGGAACATGTTCTTTTGAGAAGTCCAGCAGCTACAGAGATTGCAGGTGCTCTTAATGACTTCATATACAACAGGGATGCTGGTTATGGTGGAATAGAGAAACAAAAACTGCTCCTTTTGATGTACATTTATAACGCGATTCCATGCCTATTTTTACGAAGTTCTTGGTAAAACAGTCGTGGTCTCGTGGCAGATTGGATCAATAGGTCTATAGAGAAGGGAATGGATTAGCTGATGGTATGGTGAATTTATACTGTAGTACCATTAGAAATCAGATAAGCACTTCACACAAATAGATTCAAAGTATGAATTGAACTTTAAATGCAATGATTCAGACTTTCAAAATGTGAATAAATCTTCAATAATAGTTTTGTTACATAGTTGCCAGTTTGTGTAAGCAACATAAAATCATCTACAGTTAAAAAAAATTAAAGGGAAGTACAGTTTAATCTACAATGTATGTGAATTATTTTTATGTGCAGGAAAGAATGAACACAATTTTTTCCCATCCCATTATGTGTACAATTTTCCCACCTTCCACCCCAAGAATTCTAGACAAAAAATATCAAGCATCAGCACATCTTGTTGGTGCATATCCCAGTCTGGACCTCTTGGTGTCATATAAGATATGAAAATTCTGCTGTTGATAGTTTCCAATTATCGACAAAGCAGACTGAGGAGTCCCAAGAATTGCCAAACAAACGATATCGGGTTCAAGTTTGATGAAGTAGTTCTCTACTGGAAAATTCCATACAGCTCCATCACCAAACACAATTCCAAACGAGGGAAATTCCACGTTCTTCACTCCGGACACATTGTAACATGGATTCAAAATAGGGAAGTCATGTACAATGGGATAGCTCTTGACCTTCTTGACGAATGCCTCTTTTATAATCTCATAGGCTGGTTCAGCAAAGTAACTCAATGTGGTTCCTGAATCAATAATTGTACCACCAACACCTTCTGGAGACAAATTCCACGTCTCCTTCGGTATATTCAGTACCTCTCCTCCAACTATGACAGATTTTATCTGCACATAGTAGAAAGTTTCTGCAGGATTATCTTTGCCACCAACCAATGAAGTAAAGTTCAATTGTGGATGCTTCAAAAGATCCTTATCTTCACCAAAAATCAATTTGCTGCTGACACTAGAATTGCTATTCCTATCCACAAGGCAATATGAAAATGAATGACCATATAAAGATTGAAGCTGAGAGGCAAAGGAAAGTGGCCCTCTCCCAAGTCCCAACAAACCAGCAGCACCATGAAACAACCCTCTATTCCAATGACCACAACCAAACATCACATCTTCCACCTTCCTAAACTCACTCCCACTCGGGGTCGTGAGGTTAACAGTAAACGTTTCTAGCGCGAAATCACCAGTCGTATTGGAGCTATCACCATACCAATAGTAATAAGGGCAAGTCTGATTGTCAGACTTACAAGGCTGTGGAGGATCAGGGGATGTAACAAATTGACACCTAGGGTCATGACAACTTATATTTCTAAAAGAACTAGAGTCTTTAGGATCATAATGGGGGCCATTTTGTTCAAAACAATCATAACAAGGAACACATTGAAGCCAATTAAGATCACTACCAGTATCAAGAATCAAAGAAAAGTGCTTAGGAGGTGTACCCACAAATACATCCATGAAATACTCTCCTGAACCAAGACTCACCCCTGACTCCAAAGTTGCCATGAGCTTGCCAGAGAGCTCATAAGACAAAGATTCCGGTGGCGGCGAGGCGGCAGCTACTGGAGCATGAGCAGGAGCAATCTCATGTTTTTCACTTCTTTTTGCAAGTCTTGAATTTGTATTCTGATTTTTCTTCTCTACAATCCTTGTATGCAATGTCTGAATCCTACTCAAATCCCTAAAAACTGAGTCTTTAGCCTCAATTTTTTCTGATCTGTGCCTTAAATGAAACTTCACAGATTCTTCTTTTTGCTGGTTAGATACATCTTCAGACCCATCTAGTTCTTGAGCTATTGAACGAGTTGTTGATTTCTCAGAAACCCCATAGTTGCAATCTGAGTTTGCAGAAGAAGAAACACCATTGAAGCTTGGATGCTCAGGTAATACAATCCCAGAAACACTAGAATTCATATTTCCAAAACTGTAAAATCCTCCAGATGCCACCACACAACCAGATGAAAACAAGAACAGAAACAACAAAATGAAAAAATGAAACTTTGTCACCATCACTAATACTCCAAAAATCCTCCCCTTTTTCACTTCCCTTCAAGATAGTACAACAAAATGAAAAACCCCCAAGAACCCAGAAACAAAAGATGGATTAGAACTCAGAAAGATGAATAAAACAGGAAAAAAATCCAATCTTTTTTCAACTTTCTTCTTCTTCTCTACTTAAACAAGCAAAAAGAAAACTGAAAAATTCCCAAGAACTCAGAAAATTACTTCAATTTGTATTGGGGAAATGGAGAAAAGAAAAGGGAGGAGAGACAAAGTTAAGGAAAAAATAAGTGAAAAAAAAGAACTATGTACTATACACCAATAAAGAGGGTGATTTGGCAACACCTATGAGGTTTGTCTGAAGAAAAAAAAAATGAAAGGAGTTGAAGTTTGAATAACGACTTTGAATGTCGTCTAGCTTTTCATCTACCTGTGTGTCCACTTACGCGCTTTCCACAAGCCTCATGTATGTTTTATTAGTATTGACTTTGTATAAATACAAGTACATACACACACAATGGTTACTAGTCTATCTCTGAGTAATTTCCCTGGATAGTCATCCATGTTTGGGAAATTACCTAGGAATATCACTTATGTTTGTTTTAGGACCACAATATCACCCAACTTTACCTCTTTTCCTCAAAATATACTTGACACAAGAAAAATATTATCTCTCTCCTAATAGGATGCCATGTCACATTATTCCTTTTTTATTATTAACATTTTTTTAATTCCTTTTTCATTATTAACATTTTTTAAAATTCTTTAAAAACATTATATCCTTTGTAGTTTGACAATATGGTTACCTTATTACTCTAATGAATTAAAATATCAACAAAACGGGAGTCCGAAGCTAAAAGGGTCATATTTTTCCTTCAAAAAACAAAAAGAGCACATCAAAAAAAAAATTAACCAAAAGGGCAAAATCCCTCCTGACGGATCGATTTTCTTCTGACAAAAATTGACGCCGTTCCGTTAAAAGAAATAAAAATTGCTGCATTTGGCAGTGATTTTCTCAAAAAAATAAATTATTATTTCTTTAAAATCGCTGCTATAGCAGAGTTTTTTTTTTTTTTTTTTTAAAAAAAAGTGAAGGAATTAAAAAAAACATAAAGAACAAGTTTTAAATTACATAAATTTCCGGCGGCAGCCATTTAAAAAAAATAAGTTTTTTAAAGAAAAAATCGATGCCGAAGCAGCGATTTTCAATTTTAATTTTTTTTTAATTTTCATTTAAATCGCTGAAAGGGTAAAGATTTTTAAAAAAAAAGCTTTTTATGAAAATCGTTGGCTTCAGTTTTTTTTTTTTTTAATTTTTATTAAATTCTATGCAAGGGTAGAATTTTTTTAGAAAAAATAATTTCTTAAACAAAATCGCTGCTATAGCAGCGATTTAACTTCAGAACTTTTTTTTTTTAATTTCTTAAACAAAATCGCTGCAATAGCAGCAATTTTTTTAATATAAAAACGCTGTTATAGCAACGATTTTAAAGAAAAAATATTTTTTTGAGAAAATTGGCAGAGATTTTTATTTCTTTTAGCGGAGCGGCTTCAATTTTTGTCAGAACAAAATCGCTCCGTCAAGAGCGATTTTCTCCTTTTGGTTAATTTTTTTTTTGATGTGCCGTTTTTGTTTTTTAAAGAAAAAAAGCTACACTTTTGGCTCCGAACTCAACAAAAAGGTGCCATTGCCCATTAGTGTCCATATAAAAACATTATCTCGCTTGAAAAATCGGAGGAAGCCACATATTTTCTTGAAGAATCGGAGGAGCTCATATTTGGATTTGCCGCCTAATCCCCTAGAACTAGGGTAGAAATTTTTGGGCTATGTAATTTATTTTTACTAGGTAATATGGGTTGTCTAAATTTTTTTTTAAAAAATGTTAATAATGAAAAAGGAATAATGTGACATGGCATCCTATTAGGAGAGAGATAATGTTTTTTTTGTGTAAGTATATTTGGAGGAAAAGAGGTAAAGTTGGGTGATATTGTGGTCCTAAAATAAACATAAGTGATATTTCAAGGTAATTTCCCAAACATGGGTGACTATCCAGGGAAATTACTCTCTATCTCTTCGCGCTTCGCCCAATCATTAAAATAAGTATAATAGATATGAATATGCATTTAAATTTGTTAAAGTTGAAAAAATAGACATATGCATTCTAAATGACTATGCATCTTACGTGACATAATATGAATCAGTTCAA